CAACGGGAAATGATGAAAAAAATGGTTCGAACGATTCGGCGTTCGAACGTGACGCGGAGAGACACGGAGAGCGACGTGTTCGAGGAAACGCGTCGAGAATCGAGTCGAGCGCGTCGTGTGCACGAGTTTTCGACGATCGCGACGAATCGCACGGGAACGGAGGTACGGCGGGATATCGCGCGTCGCAATCGATCCACGGACGGAAAGAGGATCGACGGCGGGAGATCCGTCGTATCGAACAGCGACGCCGTTGTTTGACCAACGCCACGGTGGAGGCGCGCACCGAATGTGGTATGTCACGTGCAGCACGTTGCACTATTCCTAGCGAGCGGAAAATAACGAGATTCTATCTTTTTTTTGTTTAGGTCGGAGTTGCCACGAGGAAGAAATCGCGCGAGAGAGAATATATTCGAAAGAGTCGCTCGCGGGTTCCGAGGAGAAACGTACCAATTGCTAAATATCGTCATGGAAAACTAAAATTTATATATTACAAATTGTCTGATTGAAACAAATTTTTTCCCTCGTAATCGGCGATACGCTCGCCCGACGAAACCGCCCGCCCGAACGAAGGACGTTGCGCAGCGACCCAACCGACGAGAGAGCGGAGCGATCGATCGAATCGTTCGGAAGAGAGCTCGCTCCCTGCCCTCGGCGCTGCCGCGCGACACCGCGAACGAAACAACCGCGCGAACGCGAGGCTACGGACGTCTCGAGCGCGAGGTTCGCGCGAGAGAGAGAGACGAACTCGCGCAGCGACTCTTCGATTCGAGGCAGATTTCTTCCAGATACGCGCGCGCGCGCGTAGATGGATTGATCGCGTCGGGTGGCGGCGAATCCGATCGACCGTCGATACGACCGAAGAAACGCCGTACCATTGGATATCGCGATAACTGCGCGTGGTCACCTCCTCTTTAATACCGTCGCACAATTTTTTCCATCCAGGAGCGAGGGAAAGCGAGGTTCGCGGAGGAAGCCGAGAGAGCACGCGCGGATGCGTGGTTCCCCGTCGCGAGGATCGCGCGACTCTCGACGGATCGTTCGGTTGCGATGATACGACGACGTTGCAGTAGCGACGCGGTTGCACGTGTCGTCGCGCGCGTGGTTACCGCGGTACGTAAAGAGATTACAATATATATATATATATATATATATACATACTCTGATTCGTGTATACAAATAAATACGTGTCGAGTGTGCGCGACACGTACTAATGATGCGCGAGAGCGATCGTACGAGCCGCGCGATCGATATAATTCCCCGTTTAGAAAGTATACGTTTGTAAACATTTTTCACGTAGATTTGTACTCATTTTTTCTTTCTTTATTTCGTACTCACTGGTTTTTTTTTACCACCAAGTACGATCGAAAATTACACATTTGACAGATACGTAATATTTAATTAACAAATAATAATTTGTACATTGCAAACTAACTGCGTTGATTATATAGGACTGTACGAAGCGTTTCCGGTACGACGGAGACTCGGGCGAGGCCGATCGAAACTGTTCATTTTTCGTAAGGCTCGTTAAAAAACAAATAAAAAAGTTTTTTTTTATTTTTTACTAACCAGTCGTTTTCGGCCGTAGCATCCTAGCGCGAAAGGATCTTTACGCGCGGTCGTTGTAATAATTGCGCGTGGTTATCGCAAAGTTCGCTGTCGCGTTACGCGCGCGTCTAAGGAGAATGACGTGATTAGCGTAAATTTACACAAAACACAGTTTGGTTCCGACGGAGGGATACGTATCGGATCGTGTTGTCCAGGCGCACCTTCGTGCGCGACGAGTCGCGGCGCCGTTTTGGTGGACACAGTCGCGTCGGAGAAAAAACGGTTAGACGCGCAGTAAGGTTCCCTGCTCCTCGTTTGAAAGCGTCTTCTCTCCAATTTGCAGCCTCGATTTTTTAATGATTTCGATTTTGATAAAACAAAACGTATTTTATGTGTATCGAATTCGACGTAGGTTTACTTTGATCATATTTGTAGGACGATTAGTATTTCAGATATATTAGAGGGGGGGAGGAGTGAATAACAGTCTTTTTCGTAACGATTATATATTCATTTATTTAAAGATTTTTTTTCATACGATGAAACCCTCACGAGTGACGACGGCGATTCGAGAGACGCGTCTGGCGTCTGCCAGATCTTGCTAACCGTCGAACGTACGTATGTACAATGTTGTGTCCTGTACTCGCGCGTACGCGAGCGAGCGAGCCACTGCGCACGGATAGGCGTGACGGTACGTGTGTTTCTCTTCTCTTTGTAAAACAAATTTGCCGTCGTCGCTCCGACGAATCGTGCGACTGGATTCTTCCGTCCGAGCGAGCGAGCGTGCGCGAGCGACGGATAGCGTCGGGCGGTGCGCTTCGCGGAGCGCTCT